ACAACTTTATAGATAAAGGAAGTTACTTTTGTTACAGAATACTAATGGCTAATCTTAACAGTTAACTAAAATTGCCCCCTCTTACATTTAAGCCTCTGTACAAAGATGAAATGTAACTAGATTTTGAACTGCCACTGAGAATCCTCATTACACTCAAACACATCAGTCCCCTTACACACCAACACAAATGGAGCGCTGAGAAACCAATCATCTCAAATCTCAGTACAAGAAAGCAGCACACTGAAACAAAACAAAGAACTGCTTCTACAATACAGAGAACAGTTTACTTCTAATCTGACCAAAGAGCAACTGGGGTTACCTTGATAGAAGTCCTCCTCCTCTTCTTCATGTTGGTAAGTCTGCTCTTGAATGGGATTCTTCCTATAAATCCGCCCACCAATTCTTATAAGCTGTGGGCGCAGAACTTCCATGCTACGTTCCCAAACAATATTCCAGTGAAGTCCTGGAAAAAATAAATGAGCACCTTACCTTTCGATCAGAAAGAAAAACCCTATATATGGATCATTACTCAGCCCTGAAAGGACGAAACTGGGCATCCGTTCACAGCACCTCCTGAGCCACAGCTGCCCTGTTTCCATTAGAGCTCCCTATTTGTGAACTGTTGTGAGTCAATCGCTTCATTTTCCACTACATTCTATCATTCCTGGCTCACTGGAGACAGTAATTTGTAAACTATTCAGCACTCCAAAAAAGGTAATAAAACTATATTAAACCCAATATATACAGCCTGTCCACGGATTTGAAAGAAAAACAATAGAGGTTTGTTTATTACTTTAACCTAAAAGGAGTAAAATGCAACCTTCTGTGTTTAACCATTTGCAAAGTGTTTCACCCGTTCTATGAAGCATGATAATTAAAAGAATCAGGGAGCCCTAACCCAGTGGTTCTCAACCTTCTGGCCCTTTAGATACAGTTCCTCATGTTGTGAGCCACCCATAAAATTATTTTCGTTGCTACTTCATGAGTAGGGTTCCTATGCTCGTAGACAGATCACCCCAGGATGGTGGTTACAGGCTCCTGGTCAGATCTGGACTCCTCCCTGTCCTATGTTGTCTTGCCCTGTATCTTCAGGATATTGGTGGTGCCTATCTCAGAGGGTTGCTGGGAGGGTTAGATAAGATAATGTACCTCGCCAAAGCCGGTTTGGCTCAGTGGATAGAGCGCCGGCCTGCGGACTGAGGGGTCCCGGGTTCGATTCCGGTCAAGGGCATGTACGCTGGTTGCAGGTACATCCCAGTGGGGGATGTGCAGGAGGCAGCTGATCGATGTTTCTCTCTCATCTATCCCTCTCCCTTCCTCTCTGTAAAAAATCAATAAAATATATATACTTTAAAAAGAATCAGGGATATTTAACACACCTATCCCTCAGAGGGGGGTAAAGGCCCCGACTACTTTCAGAGGTGCTTGAAATACACACCCAACAAACAGACCCAGTTGCCTATGAAAACAGTTAAAATATGACTTAACCAACATGATTCTTCAAACCAACACATTGTCACTTGACTTGGGTGAACACACAATACAGTGTACAGGCGACGTTGTGTGGAACTGTGCAACTAAAACCTGTATAATTTTAACCAGTGTCACCTCCATAAATTCAATAAAAAGGGGGGGGGGGGGGGAGGACACATTGCTGAGAGGAGGAATCCAATTCCCACAGACCACTGCCCAGCAAACCACACCACTCACTGAGAAGCCGACGTTCTAGTCACAACTCAGTGAACCAATAATTCAGGAAACAAAGGGTTGCTGATGGGCCGGCTGTGTTTAAATCTAACCAGTGTTCCTACCACAGAGGCTTTTAGTTGGTAAGTCTAAGGTGGTTGGTTAGTCTTGAAGCCCAAAATAAAGTTCCCAAGAAAACAGATTAATCCTTAATAATGACACTAATACTCAGTCCCCCCTCAGCAAGTCACTGTAATTGACAGTTTGCTTACAGAACCAAGGAGACATTTCGTGTTGTGAGAAATAACAACGAAGAAAAGGAGACTTGAGCGGAGAAGAGGGAGCATAATTAGCAATACCCTGATGTCTCCAGGACCTCTATTAAAAATAAAAAAAGGCTCTCCACAAAGGCTTTCCTGCCCAGGTGGGCCTCAGACCAGGAGCTCTGGAAGAAGGGAGGCAGGGTTACAACAGCACAGTCATCTGCCTCCCAGGGCCCCGAAACCGTTCGGGAGGAAGGGGGAAACCCAGTTTGGCCCGGCTTCAGGGTGGCCTGCAGAGGGAGAGGAAGGCACAAGGCCTGCGACATCGAAGCTGAAGCCCTGCATCACAAACGCGAGCAAAAAAAGGGCGAGTACGTCAAGGTAACTGCGGAGGCGTCCGCTGCTGCAGGTAAACCGCGGTGGCGGCAGAGACCACGGGCCCGGAAGTCCTCTCCGGAAGCGCGTCCAACGCG